AGCTGGTGTGACTCGTGAAGAGTGGACTGTCTACAAAGCGTACGCTGAGCAGTTGTCAAATCGAAGCGGTAAAGAGCGTCCGTATGAACGGGTGAAACCGTCTCTAAGAAAAGCCTACGAGCGTCGGAAAAAGGAGGCAAAAATTGTTGAAGACTATGTATTTGACGAATCAGCAACACGAAGTAAATGACTGCTTGACTTACTGACATACTGGTTTTTAGACGAGTTCAAAACTAATTTTCCTTTTGTATCAGATTAGCTAGTTAACTAGGATGTTACTGTTGTTTGGCTGTTATTCTTGTTTGCCTCTGTGGCCGAGAATCGTTAGATATTTATCCGATCATGTTACAATTTCACAAGTTACAAGTTGTAAATATTTGTTTTAAACTGGCTCTTGTAATGTTACGGATTGTATCCAATACTTACCATGTTCAAAAGCAAAAACTGCAGTGCACTGGAAAATTCAAAATTTCAGGCTCTTTCACGGTAGTTAGGGTTGTAGTAGGTCAGCTGGGAATGTGAAGCGTACAAGTGCAGGTGAGTTTTTTTCTGTAATTGTTCATCTGTGCCTTATCCATTTCTATTTTTTCAATTCACGTCGTGAATAACTTTTAATGTGCGTCCTTCGACAAATTTAGTGTTTATACGATTCGCTTAGAGCCTGTGGGCACGATTGCTGGAGGCGGGCGGTTGTTGCCAGCGTCATTGGTGGAAGGGCTGCGAGAGGGCGTTTGGCCACACCCCACTCAGCCCTTCCACCAGTGATGTTAACGACAACCGCCCGCCTACTAAGATCGTGCCCACTACCTTCATATACGTCAGAGCCGCGGGAAACGCGTACGCTTAGGTGTGTGTATTGGTTTTACGCTCGTATAGTCATGAATGATTTAGCTGCTCGAGGCGTGAGAGTAGCAAAGTGAGCATGTTCTTCCAGTTTCTGTAAAACGGAGTGAAAAGTTTCTCAGAGTACAGGGATACAACTATTTATTGTTGCACGACTATTTTTTTAGGCAGTCAAGTCATAATATTATTTTCTAGAATTACTTCATGTATTCTATAAGAGTTATTTCGTTTTAGGGTTATTTCGATGCATCACAGTCTGTATTCATATAATGAAGCCAACAACAATACCGTCAATAACCATGGCATAGAGGTTCATTTTCAGACCTTTCAAATTGATGTCATATTTTTGGAACCAATGTAATTAGGCGGGAATCTAAGCTGCCACCTCTACAGGAATCACTCGTACCAAGTAGTATTCATGATTCACAGTGCGACTCGATAAAACGCATTTCGAACACCTAAAGTAACGTATACATCCGCAGCTCCAGACACAACAGTTCCCCCAAAGAAGGGCCAACGGTTGGCGCCGGCTCGATGCGCTTGCTGTTCTTTTCGCTCAAAGCGCAGATTCTCTGAAAATTCTGACGCTCCCAAGTCGCCAGGTGTGAACGCAGCCTTAACCTACTGTTTCTGGTGGCATGGTAAAAAGCGCAAGGTAGAGAACTCCTCTCTCGAACGTCTCACAGAAATTGCTAATGCGAGTACGCTCAGGGCGCGAAGCCAACCCATAGGAGTAGGTAGAAGTGGCACGACAGACTAACCATAGACAGACCTAACCAAAGGGATTGTCGATGGGGAGCTCCCGGTTACCCTTGCGATACACGATTGCTATGCATTGCAACGGTAACAATTAAGTGATGCAGTCTTTTCGAGAAGATCACTGTTGAAAGACAGGAATTAGCGATGGATCTAATGTGTTACTGATGAGTGATATAAAGTTCCGGTTATTTGGCACATTTTTCAAATTCTAATTCTTTCAAAGGATGAGCGCTTGGCAAAACCGGGCGGCACACAAGAGGGAGGAGCGCCTGCCGATAGCTGAGCGATCTGATTGGTCGCAGAATAAAGTACACATGTTAGCTTAGTTGATTTTGGTCTATCACAGAGTAAAGTGCACATCCTAGCTTAAATTGATTTTAGTCTGTCGAAGAATAAAGTGCACATCTCAGCTTAAGTTGATTTCAGTCCATCTACGCCACTTTGACCGCAAATCAGCTGCCATTACGCGATGCACTGCCAGCAACACCGTGCGGCGCCGTTTCCGCTCCGGTCGATCCAGCAATGGCAATGGGAAATCGGTCGTCGGTGGATGTGGCCGCATTGGTTGATCGTGCGATGTCCATCGATGAGCACTTGCAGTCGATGCCAATGCCGTTGACAGGCTGGAATGATCATCAGTTTCGATCGCAAGACGTGAGTAAATAGATCTAGTGATCATTGATTAGAAAATAGTCAGCCAAAAGAAGTTTACGGTTGAAGGTAAGTTTCTATGGTACAAGTAATAAAGAGTTGCGAGAGCAATCGTGCAGCATAAAAACTGGAATAAGAGCTTAGGTGGGCATCAAAGTTATGATAGAACTGGGCGAAGAGAGACTACGCAAATTTGAGACTT